ACTAACTAAAAAACCTAAGTGTTTTAAGCTTCTGATAGCAGTACAGCATGACTTATAATATAGTCTGATGATAGCTATACTAATACATAGTTTTACTGATCATATGATATTATTGCTTTTTTCTTAACTAATATAATTGTAATTTGATTACACAATTACACTGAAAAAAAAATAAAGTTCAATCCTAAATAATAATTTCTATCAGCACTTTTTGATTAATGACAGAACATAAAACTCGAACATTAATAAATGCGTGAACGCGTTAAAAACAACATTTTAATAAAAACATCTTCATTTTCATAATAAATAATCGGAGAGGTTTTATTACCGCACGCATTTTTTAAAACAATATTTTAGCTTGAGACGAAACTAAATTCGTATCGGCTCAGATCTATCTACTTGCTTGAGGTTAATATAGATATTAAGCGCATCTTATTTATGTTCGTGTGACAGAATTAACAATTTATAATGATCAATTAGGAATTCATTAATTGATACGATCTTACGAGCATAAGCGCGACGGCTTATAAAATTTATGTAAAATTTTATGAACATTGACAGATTTTATATTTTTTGTTGCTCGACATTAACATAAACATTATGATTTTGCAATTTAATTGGAATCGTTTTGTGGGTGAGAAGAAGTCATAAAATTTATATTTTTATGCATTTTCTCATACGAGAATCATATTCGAATAATTACAGAAGAAGATTTTGAAACCAGCATTTATAGTTTAAAATTTTTATTATTTACACAAGAAAAACAAGAGGATTAATTTTACAAAACAATAATCATAAAGTCGTTATAATGTATGAATGGATTTCTATGCATTATTCTGAGCAACCGATCTTTGCAGAATAAACCACTTTAGCCGCATTCAACTTTATTTATGCTGAGCAGGCAAGTAAGTTTGTTGAGTATTATCACCAGTATGAGGAATATTTATAGCACCGAAATTTTGTGATGGTTGAGTATCGAAATCAGTTGAACCGCCAAATGAGCCACCGAGTGAACCACCGGTACCGCCAAGAGAACCAATTGATATGGTTGAACCGCCACCATTACCACCGAAAGATCCACCTCCAAGTGATCCTCCTCCATTACCACCAGCAGATCCGCCATTTCCTGAATCACCTAAGCTGCCAATGACTGAGGAGACAGGTACTGTGCCAGCATCAACAAGATCACTGCTTCCACCAAGAGCATCGTATTGAGCTGTTAAAAAATGCCAAAAAATTAGAATAAAAATAAATGAAATATAATTAGCCTTTGTAGCAGTTTGAGTTAATTCTACCTTGAATGGTGTGTTGTGCATGTACAGCTTCTTGTGGGGTCTTGTATTTAATGAAGAATACATCTGGTTTATTGTTAACTGGTGCTGGTGTAACAACTTCAGCGCTAACATCCAATTCATTCGATTTCTTAGAAAGTACATAAATGGCAGTCTTATCTTCAACTGGTGCAACGTTAGCAATAATCTTGGCTTTAGCTGCAGATGAGGATGGTGCATTAATGAAGACAACGCGATAGTTTTGTTGTGGACGGCCAACATTGACATAGCGTACAATTTGTTGTTCATCATGATCTTCTGGTGCTGAGTGTACATAGAAATGTTTTGTTACAATTGGTGGCTGATTGTTTTGTATATGACCAAGGAAAGCTTCTTGGCCGCCAGATGAACCACCATTATAACCACCAAATGAACCACCAGATGATCCACCAGATGAACTACCGCCAAAACCACCTAAGGAGAGGCCAGAAGAACCACCAGAAGAGCTACCGCCAAAGCCGCCTAATGAGAGACCAGAATTACCACCACCAAGACCTCCAGAAGAGAAACCGATACTTCCACTTTGTCCAATAGTGGGAGCGGCATTGAAGTATGATGTTCCAGAAGCTACGGGTGAGTAGGATGAGCTTGAGCTAATTGAAGTTGGGGCTTGTAGAAAACCTCCACCACCACTGCTGTGACCTGCATTGTAACGATAGCCATGACTGAGATCTGGACGTGCATTGGCTGAGCTTAGCAATACGCAAGCCAAAATTACAACCTTAAAAAATTAAATTTTGTTAAAATATGCACTGCTTAAAATGATTGGTCTGTTTGATGAAGTCAAACATTATTAGTTGAGCACAGATGTTATAGTTAGATTAGAACTGTGATAATAATATAGAGAAAATCACTTCTTTTTTATTGTCATTTAAAATCATTTTCTTTCACTTGTCTTCAATGATTTGGTTTGCACTTTGTGACATTAGCTCCTTTTGTTCTCTTCACACAACTTTCCATTAGTTTGAGATTTGCAGTTATATGTAGTATATTTATCCTTTTAAGTTTTTACACTTACCACAAATTTATTCATGCTTAGGCTTATTTTATTAAAAATAAATTTATTGGAACTATTGGTTTCCCACTAACTGTCCACTTGTGTTCACAAAACAGAAGTGATTGATTTCAGTTTGACGATTGATTGATTATATATGAAAATATCTAAAACTATAAAAATCTTAAAAATTAATATAAATGATCAAAAACAATATTATGCCAACATTAATTAAAACTAATTAAAGAAATTTCAAAACCCTAGACGACATATTGCAATAAATCGATAACTAAAACGAACTATAACACAAAATCCGGCTATGATAAATTTGAAGTTAGGTGCTAATTTTTTTAGTGAAGTGTAGAAATGACACTATAAAAAAATCATGTGGTACCAGCAAACACTGAGATTGCAGCTACTAAGCCAAGAATTAAATACTTCAGAAAGTTTAATATACAATACAAATTGTTTAAAAGGTTTATGGTATCACCAAAATTTTCAAAAAATTTGATACACTCTTATTTTTTTTTACAGCTTTGTACCAGGGAAGTTTCAATTGCTTTTTGTTTCTTTTTGTTATAAACAATTAAAATATAAAATTAACAAAACATTGGCCTTGAACTGTTAGATACTGGCAGTAAAGAGTAACAATGAAGCTTAACTATCGAATGGAAGAACACGTCTTTATTAAACAGTTTATCTATAGATATGAGCATCAATCGCAATAAATTACATTAAATATAATTGTTGGATGCATGATCCTACATATCTATATCTCCATATTAATAACATTTGAAACAGGGTTGTTTTAAAAAATTTTGTGAAAATATTGAATGTATTTAGCGAAAATACTAAAAGTCTTAATTGACTTATTTCACTGCAGCTAATAAAATAAATTAAAGTAAGAAAAAGTTAGATTACTACACATATAAAAACAGATTGTTTGCAAGCACTAGAAGAGTACTTGAAGTTTCGGAAATTTATTCTAAGTTTTTCATCTCAAGTATGTTGAGATTCAGAGAAGTTATACTATTCCTTGTATTATGGCCTGGATACTGCAATCATTCCTGAAGAAGTCTGTTTAATTTGCTTTGTTTATAAGTATTATCGAAATTTGGATTTTGGATTTGGTTAAGTTATCCAGAGGTAGTATGTATTCGAAAATATAATATTCAATTTATTCATAATTTTGTTTGAATAATATTTTATTGCTCATTGTAGCTTAGTGTACTCATTAAAATGGACCGCGGTAACGCTGCACTTCAGAGAAACTGTGTATTCCTTTTAATATTAATTGTAGAAGTTCTATAAAACTTGCAGAAAGAAGAAACAATTAAACATTTTCTATGTTATCACCCAGCTGTGATTTCCAGAACAATGTACTGGAAATTGTTCTAAACTTGTAAGCAAACTTTTTAGAGTTGATAAACTCATTATCGTTTATCGATAAATACAAAAGATTTCTTAAATTAAATACTTTTAACGGGTTTAATAAAAATTGTTATAAAATCTGCTTCATTCTACAGGATTGCAGTGTGTACAGGCATAAGTGTCAATCTACAGAAGCGTGTATTGGCACTCTGACATTATGTATCAAACTATATTAAAAAATATAATCTTGCTTAGATATTACAGAGTAAGAGGACAGAAAATCGCACAAACAGTAAAGCTTACTTATTACTTTGCTTAAGAGTGTTCAAAGGGTTCTCAAGGTCAGCTCTTAAGGTCTCGAAGGATAGCTAGCTATCCGTAGAGCTTTCAGATTCTCGAAGAATATGTAGCTATCCAAAGAGCTTTCAATGTCTTGAAGGATATGTAGCTATCCAGAGAGCTCTCATGCTCTCGAAGGATATGTAGCTATCCAGAGAGCTCTCAAGCTCTCGCAGGATAGTTAGCTATCCAATGAGCTTACAAGGTCTCGCAGGATAGTTAGCTATCCAATGAGCTTTCAAGTTCTCGCAGGATAGTTAGCTATCTAGTAATAAGTTGAAAATGTTTCTAGTATACGTTTTGTGTCATATAGGCATTTTACAATGAATGAACAAATATTTATACATGTTTCCAAATTTTATTTTTTAAATTCTTTTCGATTCTTGAATTTACTTTTCCTAATCGTTTCTCTTTGTTTTTAGTGTATAATACATTTTTTTAGGGTTGCTTAGATTTTTGAGAAATTTTTCTTAAAACTAACTAGAATCTCTTTATAGTTTATCAATCTTTTATTTGAATATTGCAATTACTCTTCAATAAAAAATTAAATATTGATTGAACTCAATGTCTATAAAAACCAAATTTTCTATTTCTGAAATTTTCAAATGTATTTTTAGTCATTATTTACTTCTCCACTTCTTCTCCTCACAGGATCATAAACAGTTTAAAATAAGAT